TATTACCAGTGGGATATTCACATTATAGGTGCTCACTGACCTCAGGTTCCTCTCATTTTAATGGTGCTCTTTCCCCCTGCATTCTGCATAAAGATGACAAAATATTCCCTCTGGGACTTTCTGCCCGGGGCCAATCTCTGCATGCACCTCTTCCTAAAATTCATCAACACTGGTTGAGGATTATATGCTGAATAGTCCAGCATATAAGGATCATTAAAAAATATAATGATTGGGGACAGGTGGATTTTGTTGCTTTTGGACAAACCCATAGATGTCGCACCGTGTTTGCCCCCTTATTTCCAGTTTATCATAGAGATATTAAGAGTGGTATCAGTCTCCTCAATGAAAAGTGAATGAGTGTATTTCCTTTAAGATGACATTTTGTTGAAAACCACAGGATTATGTGAATCAAGACATTTCTTAAAACACCTTAAATAACAAACACGTACTGGCTTATGCCCCATTTTATTTAAATTTTTTTATAATTAATGATTATGTTCAGCTTGTGTGTGAAGTGAAGAAGGCCCTGCACATCCTCAGTCTTACTGACTAGTCCTCTGCTCAGATTGAAGGTGGATGGAAATGTGCTGGGTGCTGCGTGAAGTCATCAAACCATTGTATTAAGAACGGTGTAATTTATCGTGTATGAACAAATGGTAATGGGGAGTGATGGAGATGTCAAAAAAGCATGGTCTGTCCAGTCCTAAACACCCCTGGAAAGAGGTCTGCTCAGCCAGAACAATTAAAATAACCTCTGTGTTTTACCAGTTCGCAGCACCTTTAAATTAAAAAAGACATTGTTTGGCTTCTGTTTGGATAGAAACGAAACAATATGAACAAAACATTTATCACACTAAAAAAGTTTATTGTATGGTTTGTGGTACTTCTAATGCACTGTACTGTGAACTCATGTTCAAATATCAGTCTGAAAGGGTGTGTAAACTTCATTCCAACACCACAATATAAAGGTGACCCAGGTTCAGGTGACTATAGCTTCCACATATTAACAGTTCCCTCTGAGGGTTGCTGTTGCACACAGTGACTGTACCAGTAGTTGAACTCATGTCCATGTGACTCGCTTGGCACCTCTGTGTATTTCCTCTGCTTTCTCTCTGAGAGGCTGTACAGATACAGAGGGCTTGGACTTCTGAGCATGTTTAATATTTAGGGACTGTAGTGGTCTGGCGGGAGGTCCAGTGTCCAGATGACTTGTGTGGGCTGCAGGGCTACACCCTGATCCAGAGAGAATGCTGCTTGGGGAGCTTCCTCCTTGGCCTGGATCACAAGATTTAATTTCATCTTCAATCTTCAATTTCATCAATGTCATTCTAAGGCAAAATAATGACTGGTTAGACTCAAAGAAATCTGCTCTCATTCCTACAAATGCAATGCGCTGACAATAAAATCTTCATTACTTTGGCCTATGACCCATATGTCTAGATCACACATAACTGAGTTTTCTGATCTACAGTGGCAAGAAAAAGTATGTCAACCTTTTGATCCACAGCTACAGGAAGCGCCTGGTTGAAGTTACTGCTGTCAAGGGGGGTCAACCAGTTATTAATTCCAAGGGTTCACTTACTTTTTCCACTACCATTTTGAATGTTGAATAAGTGTCTTCAATAAAGACATGAAATATCAGAATTTTTTTGTGTTATTATTTTAGGCACATTATATTTGTCAATACTCTTGACTTAAATGAAGATCTGATCACATTTTATGACAAATTTATGCAGAAAACCATGAAATTCTATGAGGTTCACATACTTTTTCTTGCCACTGTATGAGCTTGCCGGTGTGGGACCTTCAGCTGTGAGTCAAAGAAACTCCACATGAGAAAGCATGCCCTATCCCAGCATGCACTTCCAACTGTAAGTCATCAACACAGAGTGAACAAAAGTGTTAGGTATTTTTAGTCAGATAGACATTGGTTAAAAATGTTTAGTGTAGACAGGATGTCTAGCTCAGGCTGTTAAATGCTTAGTCATTCCCATAAGGGTACTCCAGGTTGTTCAGGTTCAAGGATAACTAGACAGAAAGTTGATTACTGTTAGGAGACAGAAGGTTTATTGTTATTGTTATGACGTGTTTAACCATAATCGTAGTCATAATATTTTTTTATGTTTAATGTTATGACATGTCACTAGAGGTCTTGTCAGAATGTTTTTAGCTACACACCACATAATCAACAGACATTCACACATTGATTTTCTTCATGCTTTGACTACTGCTCTGGCCAGCTGCAAAGCTGGCACCGGGAGACCTGTGAGTCAAAGAAACTCCACATGAGAAAGCATGCCCTATCCCAGCATGCACTTCCAACTGTAAGTCATCAACACAGAGTGAACAAAAGTGTTAGGTATTTTTAGTCAGATAGACATTGGTTAAAAATGTTTAGTGTAGACAGGATGTCTAGCTCAGGCTGTTAAATGCTTAGTCATTCCCATAAGGGTACTCCAGGTTGTTCAGGTTCAAGGATAACTAGACAGAAAGTTGATTACTGTTAGGAGACAGAAGGTTTATTGTTATTGTTATGACGTGTTTAACCATAATCGTAGTCATGTTTTCTTATGTTTAATGAAAGAATAAATCAAATCAAATCAAATCAAATCAATGTTATGACATGTCACTAGAGGTCGTGTCAGAATGTTTTAGCTACACACCACACAATCAACAGACATTCACACATTGATTTTCTTCATGCTTTGACTACTGCTATGGCCAGCTGCAAAGCTGGCACCGGGAGACGTCGCGGTTTGATGTTCCGGCGTAGTATGGGGCTAGCCCAAAGTGATATAATGTATAGGCCTGTTATGGTTATGTTATGGACAATACCACCTTTAACTATGAGCTCAATATTAACTTTGCTGTATTACTAAGCTAACCACCACATGCACTCTAGGAAGGTGTGGTCTACATATCACGAGCACAGCGTCTCTTGTGGCTGCATTGTGTTCTGGTCTGAGGGTGAAAATTTACATCTCTGCTTGTGGTAGGATATACAACCATCCCTAAAAATGGTGGATCTGGAAAAAGTCCCTGCTTTGGCTTTCAGTGGGAATTTATATGTAACAAAATGGACCCACGAATGTAAAGTGAATCACCAGTAGATGTTTTAACAGCAAGAGGGCTGTGAAAAATTGAGATTCTTACCCTCAGACGAGTTGTCTGCTTCATTCCGCAATGTTTCTCCTAATGTTGGGCTGTTCTCCTCGTTAATACCTAGAAAGACATGAGTCAAATGAAGTCACAGGCTTTTTAGCTTTACTTAAAGCTACAATGTGCAAACTGGAAATTAAGCTAGTGCTAGCATGGAGACTCAAAAGCACACTTCTCCACACTAAGATATGTTCGGCAGCATATTTCTTCTAAAGACATTTTAAGAAAAACATTATATAGTGTAGCTTTAAATGCACATAAGCTCAATAAACACTGGGATCTTCAGGAAAGGTTTTAGTTTTGCAGTATGATAGAGAAATTCTCACAAAATAATCTGTACTGAGGACATAGTGGCCTAGCTGGATGATGAGCCAGATGTTTCGACACTGAGCTCAGTCCCCTGGAGCCTCCACTTCATACAGACGCTCCCGATGTTCCTTGTGCTGCTGCGCAAACCTCTTGCACACTGAACATAAAGGAGAGACAAACACACAGCCTGTTAACAGGTTGCTGTATAGTTAACTCATTTACAAATATAAAGAAGAGGCTGAACACACAACTGCACTGAATTCACACCACACACTTCCTTTTGACACTATTAGACTTAGCTTTCTCATAGGCAATCCTACCTGGGATCTCTGTGGAACTGAGATTTATCTGCTCAGCAAAACTAAACTACTTGATTTTTGGTGTGTTGTGACTTTTAGGTATTTGATCTGCCATGAAATGTACTTACAAGTAAAGACTGGAAATATGGAAATGTATTCTTCTGCCAAATATGGAAAAATCATTGAACAAAATTCCCCTCTACATAAGAAGAAATAGAGAAAGCAAAAAAAGAGCTGGTAGCAGCGACTGCTCCAGCCGTCACACAGGCTGCCTGAAACACAGAAAGGCCAAGAACATGGAACTCAGTCCCCTGTACAGTATTAGAAAGCAGTTTTTTCAGATGACTCTTCACTTTAGCAAACGTATCAAATTTGACATTAAAACAAAAACACCCCTATTTACAATAATGATTTTACACCAGTCGAGGAGGATGTTTTTATACTGACAGTGATCAAATAACCAAGTGGGATGTGAAAAGGGATGCTTAGTGATAACCCCAGAGAATTATCACTGGACTCTGCATTTCCTCTCAGTTCTGTGGAGTGCTTTATGTCTTTCAGGGCACTGTTGAGTTCAGTCTCACTGCTCTCATCAGCATTGGCCAGCTGTTTTGAGTGAAAATATTCACTTTCCCTTTAGCTGTTTTGAACAGCTGAAGGAAATATCTGGCTCTTCAGCTGCGAAATGCTCCGCTGGGCTCACCAGATAGATGCTAACTTTGTCTGCTAGGTGGTGTTGGGAACAGCTGCCTCCTGCTGCTGTTGTTGGTGGTGATCAAAGCAGTGAGAGTGAGCCAAACGGTAAAACTGCAGTAAAACGAAAACCATGACCTATAATAAATTAATAAACCATGTAGCATTGCAGAGTTGGGTGATAAGTCTAAGTAGACAAACCTTTTTCTTAATGCATTTGTTAAATTCCCCATTAATGTGAGACATTTAATTAGCCAAGTTTTAAGTTTATCATTGTAAATTTACTATATACAGCGTTAGCCACTGTAACCTATAAGTCTACCAATATATACAGTAACCCCAAAACAAATTAACTGTAGGATTTGTTTTGCTATGGAAGGAAAGAACAAAAGCTTCCTTACATGATCAGTTGTCTGGTTTTAACTTTAGATTAACTTATATTAAAATTGCACTAGACGAGATTTACATGTAAATAAGAAAATCCACCAGGAAACAGCAAAGAGGAACTTCCACCCTGGTGCTCTTCTCCTCCATCGTACCTTTGTGTTTGACAGTGTAGAAGCCGACTGCCTGGCTGTCTCTCCACAGCAGTTTGCAGCTCTCTGTGCGGGGATGCAGGGAAAACAGCGCCTCCTCCTGTGAAGATCTCTCCACTACCTGACTGAGCAAGAAGACAATCACCCTCTCCATGATCGACTGCACCTGGGGACAACACACTGACTTAGGAAGCTTTCATAAGTGAAAACAAACAGCACTGGTGAAAACATGGTCCTGGTATTAATAGTAAATAAATAAAATGAAGCCTTTGTTTAACTGCACCAATTATTCTTCTGAGGCCATTTTGATTTAAAAAGTCTACACTTTTCAAAAGCTTGATTTCTGTCTGTGAATATAGTAACACAATTTGTACTTTGTGCTGTTATACTGGGACTCAGCTATGAATTTCTGGAATTCTCAATACTTTGGACGGGTTATTTAATGGACCTAGGCCCAGGGGCCTGAGGGTTTAGGTCAGATTTTAATTTAGCAAGATTTTAAATATATAGAGAGTAACATGGTGAACAGTGTGTTAACAAACTGTATCAAGTTAAAGTTTAATCTGGCAACCTTCACTTTCACCACCTATAAAGACAACTGTGGATGACCAAGTTACTTAGCTGCGGTTGATCAGTATTAATTCTGTCAGTTGGCCGAAAGACAAAAAAGAATGTTGCCTCAAAAGATTCACTTTTTGTTTTGCCATTTATAAAAGTCCAACAGTCTTTGTTTACACAAACAATCTATGATTGTCTTGGATCATTTTTAGACAAGCTGCTACCAGGTAGCACCGGAGTTGTCCAGTGGAAATTGATAATTAACAGACTTTGTTTAATCAGCTGGGGACAGTAGAAACAAACTATAAACACCATCATGCCATAATCTGCTCTGAACTGCTCTTTGCTCCTCCAAATCACATCCTGTTTCCCAGCAATGACATAAACTATGAAATGTTGCCTCCAGTCTGAAGCTAGCATTAGTTAACTAACGAGTAAATTTGGCAATCCAATAGAACACTCTGGTTACTGTTAACGTGGCAGAAAGCACTAATATTACACAAAGCTGAAACTACTGGAAGAATAGTGTGGAGCAAGACCACATTCGGTTGCATTTTCATATGATTTATCATACAATAAAAATGTTATGATTATATCTATATATTAGCCAAATGAGTCTTTCTTTCTTTCAGTGATGTCAGGCATAATGTTATATTAATGACTGTGAGCGACTGGTTAACATTTCTTTAGAAAGCTAGCCACGTTTATTTAGAAACTGACATTTATCTGAATGACTGGTTGAAAAAAGCCCTATGACAACCTAAACGACAAGCTACTTCATTAATTTATTTGACTCTATTCATTTAAAAATGAAAGACATTTGTTATCATACTTATCACAATCATATCTTGAATAATATAGTGTCAGCCACAAATATGAAGCAAGAACATCTACAGTCACGGGACAAGAAACACTAGGATAGCAATGTGGGTTGATAATTGTTTTAAAAAATAGTACACAAGATCAACAAAACTTAAAAGTTGCCACTGATACATTTTTGCACTTAGAGCCCCAAGCAAGAATCACACCCTCTGACATCTTGGAGAGGATAGAGCCTCTTAATCCCCAGATAACGTGCTCAAGACTTCAAAGCAAAGTGTAGGCTTTTCCTTCCACTGTTGTCTGATATTTTATGGACTAAATTATTAGACTGATAGAATTCTTTCCACACTGTTCAGGCCTGTGTAGGAACCCTTATCTGTTTATCACCATGCAGTGATGCTGACATACTAAGAGGTGTACAAATGCAGTTACCAACACCAAGCCATTCCTGGATTTGTCGGATGTTCGTAAAACATCATCCATGCACCACCACTTCTCATGCAGGTATAAAGCCACCACTGGAAGGTAGAGGAGAATACATTAGGCTCTGTACATATCTGTGTGTGTGTGTATGTGTGTGTGTAGGAGTGTGCAGTCCCAAACCTTGTGTTGGATCATCGGGGAGGTGAAGTGCCACCACTGCACAGTTAAGTTGGTCATCTTCAAAAAGCTATCACCACCTGGGTAGACAGAAAGACACTTCAACCAAACTCTTTGGCCTGAACAGCACACACTTTGCTCTGTCTAATGTTTAACAAAATATGTTCAGGGGACAAAAGAGTAAAATCCAAAAAAACTATGGTCATCATACAAGAACATTTTCATGTTCTTGTCCTAAAACTCTCTTATTTCTCAGTGGCTTGTTTATAGCAGTGTTCCAAGTAGGATTCACTGAACTCTCTTAACTGCACCAACTTATTGTAAATCACTTGTTTCAACCTGCTGAATATCACCTCTTCATGAGGAGGTGTGTTTATGTTATGTTTGTTATATCCTGTATATTTTAAATTAAACCAATTTCTTTATTTTATTCAAACTTAAATGACTCAGATGAAGCTGTTATAATTCGTAGGTCAAATGAGTGTTTCCTCATGTGAAGAAAGCCAGGCTATCTGCTCATGACTTGTACGACACGTCTAGAATTTCGTTGCTATCTCAGAGAAGATTCTAAGCACGAGAGAAGTGGTGAATGCAACATATTCTCTTAACTCACTTGTACTGTACATGTCACTTAAGAATCTGTCCATACGAGTGTAACTTGCATGTGGTCCACTATTAATAATATTTAGATGTTTGATGAAAGATTCCTGATCAAAATCACCCACTTTGCTCCCATTTGTTGAAAACTGAAGTAATAAAACAGCAATTATTATTCTGTCTATACTCCAATTGACATAGTAAAAACAAGCATAATTGTATGAAGTCAGACAACAGTTACTGTACCCTCGAGGTCTTGGACAATTCAAACCACTCATTACTCGAACTTGACTCCAGAGAAGAGAGGTACTGCTCAGATGCTTTTGTCAGGTCAGTGTCCTCCACATCTGGAAGGTCTACAGGGTACATTGCCAGTCACAGGGAGCACAGCTTTTTAAGGAGTAATTACCTATTTACAGAACAAAGGAACAAAATATGTTGGTGGTGTTTGGGATGCCTAAACTGTTTTGCCAAATATTCTCACAGAGGGTAAATGTTCTTCCACCAGACTATGTTAAAAATATTGTAGTGTAAAGTCGCCTTGCTTGTGTAAACACAAAAACCTAAGGTGACTTGTGACCTTTGACAAGCTGTTGGTTCCTTATGGCACGCACCTTACCGTAACTAACGCATGTGATCCCAATTTTAGCTAAACATTAACTTTCAAGTCACTGGTTCCTATGCCCATTCATGTCAGTAGGCGAGATGGTTGGTTGGTAAGAAAAAAAGTTGAATAATGGAAAACTAATTGGGTTTAAGCTATACTAACGACTTTAACAGAAGCACTGCAGCACTAAATTCACAGATAAGACCGGCGCTCTGTTAATACAAATGTGACTGACTTGTTCAGAGACAGCTTCATGCACTTTGAACAGCTAACATAGCAATGCTAATAAGAGCATCACACAACTATTTCACAACAAACAATGTCGGCTATACTTAATTAGGTTAGTAGTGAATTCCCTTACTTTGACTTTCTAGGTTAGTGGAGCCACGTATGCTGTCAGAAACTATCCACCAGTGACTTCTTTAAACTCACTCTGAGCCCACCTTGAATCTGTTCTTTGACCTGTAGCGCCACTCTCTTACAGAAAGAGGCATTTTGATAAACAACGTGTACATGTCCTCCTCCGAGGCCTGTCAAGCTCACAGCATTAGCAAGAATAGGTGGGTTGCAAACACATGACTACTATGACGCGCAAAACTCAGATGGAGAGCAAGAGGTGAAAACCAGAATGAAGAGGAGTAAAGTCAGTATTGTGGTAGTTTAAACGATAGTATGAGAAAAGGTATACGCAGAAAATCTCAACATATGTTGGACGTGATTCTTATGTCAAGAAGAGGAGCGAACTGAGTTCAACAGAACTGAACGACTTTCCTGCTATTGAGGGGAACGGTCTCATGCATAGACATAATACAACGTATGTCTGTGGTACTGTGGATTAACCTAGCAAGAACCATTCAACGCACGGTGTCTTTCCATGTTAACGTTATGATTGTTTAATCAGTTAGCCACTCTCAAAGGTCCAGTGACACACCACTAAAGACATGAATGATCATCGCGAAACAGAAGTCACTGTAGCTGCAATTGCACAGCAGTGTAGCAGCAACTACAAAAGTGGTCCCTGCACAGCGGAGCCCACTCTGCTCCTCCCGGGCCCAGACAAATGCTTTGCAAGCCATTTTTGTCTGTGTGGGGGTGTTATACAGTCATAATAATGCAACATGGTAACGCGATTAATTTAAGGAAAATATGTTGACTCTACACGTGTGGGTTTGAAGGGAAATGAAAAAGGTGGATAAGTTTGCAAAGCAAGCAATACACAGAGAACCAGTAGTCCCATTAAGTAAATCAGAAAGTAAAACAATTGTTTGGATTGAAGCAGTGGAAACAATGGAGGAAAACAAGGGAGATATAATAATACAGTTAATTCAGTTAACAGGAATATAGGAAGGTCAAGAAGAGAGGAAGTCATCTTTAACAGAATGATATTAGGACATTCTAACATAAACAGTACATTTAAAACAATAGGCAAACACCTAACTGGATTATGTGATCATTGTCAGGTAGAGGAGAGTGTAACACGTTATTATGGGGTGTCAGCAGTATGAACAGGAAAGACATCAACCGAAGGAAGAACGTATAGGGACTGGGATTCAGGAGTTTAATTTAAAAACAACTGTGCAAATATCAAGTGGCCTGCCCAGAATTTTATTTAATTATTTAGGAGAAGACAGTAGAATGTGATCTCTGATCCACACTCCGAAACAGAAGGAGGCGGTAATGCTCCGATTACGCCGGTAGCCAACCGCGGTTAAAAATCCAAGAAGAAGAGAAGAAGAAAAAGAATACGAAGACGAAGAAGAACAACAACAATAACAATAATAATAATAATAATAAGAAGAAGAAGAACAAGAATAAGAAGAAGAACAATGCTGCTAGGTTTTCGACGGCTGTTGTCGTACAGGAACAGTGTACTTCTCTGCCGCAACATTAAATCAGACAACACCAGCAGAGTAAGATATTTTTAAATGCTTCCATTCATGTCATTGTTGCACTAAAAGGTCACTTGTTGAGCTAACGTAAATTACAAATGCAGCAGCACCAGCTGAAAGGTTTGGTGTGTGAGAAAAACTCAATCTGCTTTCTTTTCTAGCTAACGTTAACGTTAAAGTCAATAATATTAATAAACAAGTAACGCAGTTAATAAAACATCAAATGTAATAGCATTATAGACATAGACCTGCGCCCCCCCCTTTACCAGTCTAGCTGAAGAGCTGGCGTTAGCTAAACAAGTTTGAGGGCATACGTTTTGTGGACAGTAGTGAAGTGAGCCACAACCTGATAAACTGATAAAATAATAAACATTTTCCATGACTGGTTTGCAGATACTGCAAGTGAAATTGACTTTGAAGTAATTCCGCTGTAAATTTTTGAGAAAATTAAAGGAAGACATAAAAGCATATACACATTATTCGAACTTTTATATAAAAAAAAACCCTTATTACATTTACTGAAATATTTTTGCCTCTGACCAGGTTGCGCAGAGATGTTTTACCCCTAATCAACATGTTCATATTAGACTTGATCAATTTCTCCATATTAACAGGTTGGGTTTCTGATGAGCAGTCACCGGCCACATCAACCTGCCCAGTGTTTGATTGTTTGTTGTTGTGTTTGTTCTGTTTTGTTGCTATTCTTCTTTTCTCTCTCCTCTATCCACTGAGCCGGGGTCTGTCGGAGGTTTCTTACGTTAAAGGGAGTTTTTCCTCCCCACTGTCACCAAGTGCTTGACCAAGGAGAATTTGTTGGGTTTTTCCTCTGTAATATTAATAATAATAATAATGATAATAATAATGTCTAGATCTTACTATTTAAAGTCCCCTTGCTGTGATTTTGTCCTATACAAATCAAATTGAATTGAATTGAACTGAAATAGCATTAACAGTGGGGGTAAGTTTGCATTAGGTTTTATATTACAGTGTAAAGAGACTTTGTTGTGAATTTACCTTACATTTTTGCAAGAATGAATTCATATATTGGTCATTCCACTGAAAGTGGCAGCAAAGTTCTGAAGTAATAGGTTTTACATGAGTTAAAATATCAACAACTTGACAGTGTGTTGCAGAGTCCTTTGAGGTGATTTCCATTTTCATTTTTTTAAAAACGATGCAGTTAAATAACCACATTTTATATGATCATAGTCAGGGTTGCTATGAAAAGGACTCCACTGAAAACTTGAAAGAACCTTTTAAGGAACACATGTATGTGATTTCAAATATGAGGAAATTTACAATGTATTTGGTTTGACTTTCCTGTAATCCTCATAATTACCACAGATATTACATGCCCATAGTCAAGGCCACTATAAACAATACTCCATTAAAAGCTCCAGCAAACAGAAATCAAATTCAAAGGAACTGTGTGTCACACCTGTGATTATGATTACTTCCTATTTGGTTATGGCAAACCAGTTAAGAACTAGTTTTAATCTAATTTCAATGAATGCTGTATCACAAATTAACATAAATGAATGCTCTGATAGGGAAACGCTGAAGAACACCTGCCGAGCTGGAACTTAACTTCTGTGAAGCACTTGAAATAGTATTGATCTGGCCCTGGTTCAGAATCAGGGGTGTGATTTGTACTAGTGGAAGGTGCTTTGGACAGAAATGTCTACTGGATGTTCCAATTTACAGCTGATACAGTGCGCTAGACACTGTTAATCCTCTTTGGAGAGCAATGTTTTTGCCTTCGGTTGTAGCTTTCTATCTTTCTTATCTTATCTCTTCTTAAAAGTGAGATATCATCCAACTTATTTTTCCCACAAAACCCTCGCTGACTCTCTTGTGTGTATTTCCATCTATAACAGCTATAGGCTCTGCACCAACCTTACATTTTCTTGATCTGTAGCTCATTGTCTGGCCTGTCACTGGGGTTTTTTCAAGCATTATTACTGTATCTTTTTACAGTTTTGTATCTATATGGGTCTTGCAGCTGAAGAGTTCCCGTGATTTAGTGGTTAAAAAAACATCAGGCCTCCTGTGTGGCAGGCAGAAATGCTAACACTGAGCCATGTCTTACATAGCTTTCACACATGGGCTGACAGGCTGTGAGCATGTTCATGTTTACACAGTACTGTATGTAGAAGGGTCTCTTTTCTTTGTGCCATCCCCAGAGTTAAGGATTGGATCACTGACATTAATTTCATGACGGTCTCAACCTCATTGCCACCACGATGTGATGGTTAGGAGAAAACGGAACATTGATCCTACATGTACAGTTTAAATAAAGGCAGGGATAATATTGCACCTTGAAGAACCTCTCTCTTAAAATATCCTTTCCCCTCTAGTCTGCTATGAATACAGGGGAGGATACTCCCCTGTATCTTCAGTCATGGCTTCTCTAGTAGCCCCTTAGCCAATCTAAGAGACTTGGAACACCTTTGGTCAACCAGAATGACTGAGTGGTCATCTCCTAAATGTTGGCGGTTCAATTCTTGTTCTCCGCACTCCACATGTCAAAGTGTCCTTGGGCAAGACAATGAACCCCAAGTTGCTTCTGATGGCCAGAGCAGTGCCTGCGTGTCAGTTGGTGCTGCACGTGGTTGCGGCCAATAAAAGTGATTATCATTGTTATCATTCAGAGTCCACCCAGGACATAGGATTATATAAGAGCCTTGAGAGGCAACCATTGACAGTTCAATTCAGTTTTATTTGTATAGCACCAAATCACATCAAAAGTCATCTCAGGACACTTTACAAAGTAGGGTCTAAACCTTACTATTATTGTTATTATTATAGTGGAAAAACCCAACAAATTTCTCCTTGGTCAAGCACTTGGTGACAGTGGGGAGACAAAACTCCCTTTAATGGAAGAAACCTCTGACAGACTCTGGCTCTTGGTGGGCGGCCTTCTACCTCGACTGGTTGGGGTGATTGGATAGAGGTGAGTTCCAGTTTTGTCAGAGTTTAGAAGTAAAACATTACAGGTCATCCAGGTCTTTATGTTTTTAAGACATAGCTATTTATCTGTATAAGCACTAAATCAGGACAGAAAGCCTGAGAATTCAGTTACAAACTCTGCATTAGGAGCAGGTGGACGCTATACAATAACAAATAGAACTGGCTTTTGAGTTTTCCAGTTTGGGTGTGAGAAACTCAGAGTGAGACTTTCAAATGAGTTATAACTATGTTTAGGTCTAGGGTTGATTAATAGCCTTGAGTCGAAGATCGCTGCCACACCTCCACCTTGGCTTGTACCTCAAGGGATGTGATGGTTACTGTGACTAGGTGGGGTGGATTCATTTAGACTGACATATTCTTCCTGCTGTAATCAGGTTGACTCATTCTACTTTACTTTTTTTCTGTGTGCATGTGGGGGTCTTCACAGTGTGCTGTTTTGGACAGTGCACTTTCTGCATTCAGGTTGATATGTGGTGAGGATGGCGTCTCATTGGGTGAAGCTGTCAGAGAGCAACATGGTAAAGATGAGTCTGTACACAGGTCAGTGTAGTTCTCTTGGCCACACAGACACACACTTGTGATATTGTAGGGTGCTGGTGTTTTCCACAAATAACAGGTGGGAATTTGACTGAAAGTTAGATGGCGACAAAATGTGTGACATTACACAAAAATTGGTTCAAGAACAGACACGATGAGACCTAAACAAGATTAGGGTGCCACATGGCACTATACTGGATGTCCCCAGAGCCTGGTTAACAGTCAGCACATCTGTTTGTTCTTCTACCTGTTTGTCTTTAAAGCTGCATCATTATATATTTGATCACTTGGTGGCAGCAGACACGAAGTTGATGAGAGCTGAGTTGTAGGTCCAAAAACCAAAACGATAGGTTAAATGAAGTTAAAAAGCTCCATAATGCTAATTGAAACTGTAAAGTAGGGAGCTAATTCTTTGTTGGCCCGCCTCTGCAAGTGACCTTGTTACACATAGTATATATAAAAATGTTGTTTGGTGCAGCTTTAAAGATACAGCTTGGTCACTTCAACACAACTGAAAGGTTTAATGTGTGTATTGTTTTAAATGTAGACATGATAATTTTATCACATCTCCTTCCAGTCTGCTTGTAACAGGTTATTTACACACAGACATTTCCTCCTGTTGATGCCAGCACTGTTGCTTGTCTCTAAATGTGCATTCCTATAAATTATATAAATATAAATTCACTCTGAATTCTACCAGGTGTGGTAGCAAAAGATTTAGTGGAGAAGTATGAAGATTGGTGAATGAGAATCTTGTATCACTGCTGTTCAGATGTTGTCCCCCAGATGTGGTGGTGTTTCCTCATTGTGTGGAGGAGGTCAGTGCCTTAGCCAAGGTCTGCCACAACCACAATATTCCCATCATCCCCTTTGGCACCGGGACTGGAGTGGAGGGGGGGGTTAACGCATCGAAGGTGAGAGACAGGAAGTATGGAAGTGTGTCTCTGTGACTTAAAGGTTCAATGGTAAATGTATTATCCCCAAGGGACAATTTGTATGCAACCAACAGTACCATCACAACAAAGACTCAGTCACAACAGTTCAAACATAACAGCGCAAAACCCACCCCTTGCAAACAGTACATTATATCCAGTCCCACAGCTCAGGCCAATCCCTACATGTGCCAGACCCTCTATGTCTATACTATTGCAGCCTCAGCATTTGGCAGAAATCTGGGTGTTTAACAGACCAATTGCCCTTGGTACCATAGAATTTTTAAGTCGATTTGTCCTACATTTTAGGATGGCATATTGTCCTGATGATCACAAACTCTCCAAAGATAGGGTGACTAGAGTCTGCCAAGATTGACTTCTAGCCTTCCCTTGAATACACAACTTGTATAAGCAAGATAAGTTATTAAGGGGATTATTCAGTCTTGCTGCATGTCTTGACAACCTTTTGCAATCTGTTCAAATCAAATCAATCAAATCAAAGAAAATGTGAGAATCGATTCAGTAAAACAAGAATAAACATCCTCATAAAAGTGTTATCAACCTTGAAAGTGCAAAGCTTGGGGAGAAAATACATTCATTGATGGGTTTTCTTGCAAACCACATCCACCTGTGATTTGAAAGAAAACTTAATATTAATAAGTACACCAATGTACTGTATTTATTTTGTTGAACCTGCTCATCAACCTGACCATCAATAATCATTGGAGAAAAATTCACACAGTTCTTCTGGAAGTCAGTTATTATCTCATTAGTTTTAATAATGTTTTTCTTTAAATAAGATGCTTTGCACCACTCAGTAAAATCGGTCACCAAAGGTCTGTAGTCATCTTTGTCACTGTCAAGGAGAGACATAACAGTCATCCGCAAACTTGATAATAAACCTATTCTTGTACGAACTCTGACATGAGTATGTATGAAAGTCACTTTCGGCTTTTCCCATTTAGGGGTTGCCACAGCGAATCGTCACACTGATGACTCGCATGTTGACATTTGGCACGCGTTTTATGCCGGATGCCCTTCCTGACGCAACCCTGATTTGAACCTGGGGCGCAGGGGCAAGAGCGCTGCGCCTTAACCAGTAGCCTACAGAGAAAAAAAGAAGTGGAAAAAGAACACAGCCCTGTGGTGAACTGGTAGAGGACCACAAGATAGGGTATTATTCACCCTCACACTGCAACCTATTTGTTAAAAAAGTCCACAAGCCAGCAAAAAAAAGACCTTTATCGATGCTGTAAAAGCTCTCTGACCTTTCAGTCAAAATATGGGGCTGGATACAGTTAAAAGCTGAAGAAAAATCTATAAAAACCAACCGTGCACAGGTGCCCATTTTATCAATATGCAATAATACCAAATTTAAAAGAGTGCTTATTGCATCCTCAACACCTCTTCCTGCCCTATAGACAAATTGCAGGGGGTCCAGTTTTCTGTATACCTTGTCTAAAAGGGCCTCTTTCACAATGACTGGATGTGGGTGCAGTTATACTTGGATTGTGTGTTCTTGGCTATGAAGTGAGATTAGCTAAAAACGGTCAAATACCTGGGTCTTATTTACAGAGAAGTAAAGCTCAAACTAAAGTTCAGTCTGTAAAAATATTTCTGGCACAGCTTAAATTAAAAATGAATGGAAAGTATTCAAATACACAAATTACAGGTCATATGAAATATTGACAGCGACAAGGCAAGTTACACTGAAAAATTAAAAAGACAATGCGAGCATGAAAAAAATAAAAGATGTTTCTGTGTGCGTGCATGTACTGCATTTTTCTTCTGCCTACCTGCAGGGTGGTGTGTGCTTCAGCCTGAGGAACATGGACCAGGTTCTCCATCTTCACCAGGAGGACTTTGATGTGACAGTGGAGCCTGGTGTGACTCGGAAGGCCCTTAATGCCTACCTGCGAGACACCGGACTGTGGTTTCCTGTTGGTCAGTCATACTGTGCCCCAGCTTTCACTTTGTTATTCAGTAGCTCAGTGGGTAGAGCACAGTAAAGGACTGATCATAGGTGACATTTGAAATTTTGAATGCATGTTGAAATAATGTAAAAAGCACTGTATGCATAAAATGAATAATAAAAACAATGGTTATGTACAGTAACCCAAGCTTCTATGAGTATAGGCGTAGCCCTCTAAGAGCTGTCGCTATCGGGTCTATCCCTTGCACATGCGCAGTCCTGAAGAGATTCTTTCGCACCATGTGACCTGCACTGGGCTGTTCCCAAAACAGGTCTGTTGCGATAGCATAAATGCCACTGTGACCTGTGATCGGCTCCCTACACCAGCACTTTTTTTTCCAGTTGGCGGGGGTGGAGACAGCAGGGCTGCCAGCTTAGAGGGCTACGCCTATACTCATAGAAGCTTGGGTTTCTGTATGTAACCATTGTTCTATTTCATATAGGCTCCGCCCTCTAAGAGCGATTGCTATTGGGATAAAAGCGCAGCTGGATGTAGTCAACGCCCTGGTGGCACACCGCCACCCAAGAGCATTAACACACACCTCAGCTTGCCAACATACCCCATAATAGCAGCCCAAACAACATCCTCTCTCCTGAGAAGCAGGTGCAATCGTGCCCATATAAACACCTGACTGCCACTGTAAGAAGGCAGAATAGCCATTCTGTTAACAGGGGAGGAGAAGTACAGGGAAGAGCGCATAGATAACAGTTAAATTGCAAGAGCATACGGGCGCTAACAGCGTACAGAGATAATCAGATGCCCGTATTACGCAGCTGTTGTCTCACAGTAGTAATAGCAATATTACCAGCGGAGAACATGAGTACCATGGAGAGCATACAGACAGAGTGCGTCTGTGCAGGAAGGGCACACACACACACAGTGGGTACAACGGTGGCTTGCATTGATAGTACAGTCAAGTGAGTGTACATGGCTAACAAGCAATCACCCGAGCGAGAAAACACACATGTGGAATCAGCGCTCGGTGGCGGTTGTTCGAAGAGGGAAGCTACTCGGCCGCGTAGAACACTCAGGACCAAGTGAGCCAGTGGAAAACTCGGACGTGTCCTGAAAGTAGAATAGGGTCAAAAGACATGGCCCATGAGGCTGCCGTGCGGATGTCCTCCACAGTCATGCCTTAAAAGAGGGCAGTGGAGGATGCAATAGCCCTCGTAGAGTGGACTCTGATGCCAGGTGGGGGATCACACCCAGCTAACATGTAAGCCTGTGTGATAGCCTCACACAGCCAGTGAGACAGCCATGGTTTGGATAAAGGCTGTCCAAGAGAATGCCTCCTACAATGAACAAAACAGTTGTTGTGTCTGTCTGACAGCTGCCACGTAATGCACGTAGTGCGCGTAGTGCACACCACATAATGGGACAGTGCACGCACCGGACAGAGCATGAAGTTCTTTCTCTGACTCATCTCTGTGGGGTGGAGGAAAGAACCCATCCAGGTAATGACTCTGGATCTAACAAAGGATGTTATTATGTTCGACGCATAGGCAGGAATAGGTCTCAGAATGGCTGAGCTGCCGTCTTCGTGTATGAGAAGGCACGCCAGTGAGACAGACGGTACACACAGATAGCCCACTTGCTTAGCCGTGGTTAGGGCTAAGAGAAGTGCTGTTTCCAGAGAGATGTTTGAGAGAGATTTTTGTTATGGGGCAGTTCTGCTAAAGGGGGGGTTCCCTGAGCGCGTGTAAAACCAGAGGTAATCCCACGGAGGTGCCACTGAATGCGTCACAGGCCTTGTCTGCCTATACCTCTGAGCGTTTCACCAGCGGGTGTGGGAAAAAAAACAACAAAAAAACAGTTCGCTCACCAAAAACTTCATGGCATGAAGAGATGGCAGCGGCAAATGCTTACACAGTAGACAGAGCCAGGCTTCTTTCTACCAGGATCTGTAGAAAAATTCAGCACTTAAGACAGTGGACAGGAAGTGGGAGCTGTGCCCCTCTCAATGCGCCAACGTTGAAAAACTGACCATTTGCAGCTTAAGGCACCGTAATAGATGGAGCTCTCGTGCACTGAATTATGAGTATGACTGCCAGAGGCAACCTAAGGCTCCCCAGTCAGTCCCGTTCAGGGGCCAGGCCCACAGCCGTTGACCTGACACGGGGCACTGCTGGATCGCGCCGAGCAGATGAGAGAATGCTTGCGTGCTCCGGTGTTTCACCACTTTCAGCACCATGGCTAGTTCCAGACAGTTGATGTGGAGAGACGAGGTGTGATCCCACCGTCCTCTCACAGTCTGTGACGGACACGTGCCTCCCCAGCCAAGCAGAGATGGGTCTCTGAACACTGAGTTGTGTGATGTGGCTCTGCCCAGGGGAACTTCCAGTGTGCTGACGATGGAGAGTTCCCCAGTACTCCAGGTCTGATTGGACCAAGGGGGGGAATCGTGGACACGCGCCTCTTGTGGCACACCAGGTCGAGGCGCAGATGGCCGAACCACCTCTGGAACTTCCTCGTATGAAGAAGACCGAGAGGAACTACGACATGACTGGCTGACATTGTTTCCAATAAAAGCATGTCAGATAGAGCTGTTACTCTCGTGTGGGGAACAACATGCTGCAGGAGAGATGAAAACACTCTTTTCAACATTTCTTTTCAAAATAAAAGAACTTTCCTCACCGGGGCTTTGGAGAAGGCTAAGTCAAGTGCACCCGAAGGCACAAGTGTGTGGGGGGAGAACTGAGCAGTCTGTGTGTGTGTGAGAGAGAGAGAGAGAGAGAGACAGTGAACACACAGAGAGCCTCTCTTTCTTTACTGAGAACATTTGTCAGAAAACTGCTCTTATGAGTTTGGTGGTGGCCCTGAAAAGACAGTGTGTCACAGGCAGAGTCCACAGCTGCGCGCTCCGTTGTGGGGAGAACTCATAAAATGAGCGCCCCACTCAGGCTTTTGTCGTCACACTGTAAGTCGCTGCACCTGCCTTGGATGCGCGTTAATGAATGCGGGCCGAGAGGCGAGCAGTGACTTGGTTCAGTGAGGAGACAGGTGGCCCGCTTCCTGCCAAGAGACATCCTCTGGGAAGCAAGATAAGGAGATGCTTGGTCCCGGCGGCGCAAAACGGCAGGAAGCCAAGTTGGCCAGATGGGGAGCTCTTGCTCCGCAGCGCCGTCTGTAAAAGCCACACATTATGTCTGATGGGGGGGGGCAGTCGGCGGGGAAGATCAATGCCCCCCCGGTCTGCCACCTTTGATGGTT